AACATTCAACTAGCTTATTTGAAAAGCTACCTAAAGTAGCTTATGAAATAAGCTCGAGCTTTTTAAGAAAGCTCGTCCTACCAAACGAGGCTTATTTTAAACAGGGAGCTTATAAGCTAACCAAATAAGCTAAAAGCTAGCTTATTTGGCTTACCAAACATACTCTTAGGGTGTGTTTGGCAAAAGTAGCTGATAAGCTAGCTGATAGCTGATAAGCTAGCTTATAGCTTATATGTAATTTTTGAGCTTATAGCTTATAACTTATGACTTATAGCTGAAAAGCTAGCTTATATGATAATAGTGTTTGGTAAAATTAGCTTATAAGCTAGCTGAAATAAAAAATTCAACTAGCTTATTTTGAAACGCTACCTAAACAAGCTTATCAAATAAGCTCGAGCTTTTTAAATAAGCTCGTCCTACCAAACGGGACTTATTTTATACAGGAAGCTTATAAGCTAACCAAATAAGCTATAAGCTAGCTTATTTGGTTTGCCAAACAAACCCTTAACCAAACTGAGCTTACAAAACCGAAGTAATCGAATGTTCCATTAAAAAAAAAAAAAANNNNAAAAAAAAAACGAATGGATCGAATTTTCGTTACGGAGCCAACAGCCAATGGGACAGCTCTATGTAGGGCCAACAAATTATATTCTAAATTACTGTGCTAACTTATATTCTAAATTAACAAATTGATTTCAGGAGAAAGTTCTCTTGGAGCAGCTGGAGAAATCAAAACTTAAGGTTTAGTACTTTATAAGCTATTTAGTTTATTAGTTCTTTTTTCTTTCTTTAATGCCCTTTTAATCTTTTTTATTTATTTAATTTAATTAATTAATGCCATACCTAATTACTATGCTAATGTATAATGTGATTTTCATTTTTTTTTTTTAGGAAAAGAGAGTTGTGAAGCAAAATGATACCCTTCTGGTAAAGGTAATTGCTAATTAATATCAAATCAAATAATTTTCATGATCATAAATCCATGATAAATTATGTTCATCAAGTAGCTGCTGATTGAATTGATTAGCTAATAATGTTAGATTATATATCACATGTAGCTAATATATGTTAATTGAAATTTGGAAAAAAAAAAAAAAAATGCAGATTGAAGAGCTTCGGCACAGTAATGAAAATCGTCTGCATATCGGCAAACATATGAGCTCGAGCTCGAGCTCGAGCAACATATATGAGAAAGAAGGAGCTTCTGATACCTCTTTGCGTTTAGGGTAAGTTGCATTGTGAGCCAAGTTTAATGATATCAGCATTATATTTTTTTTTTTTTAAAAAAAAATATATATTTAATTTAGAAACAACATATTCAAATTATAATTATAAAAATTTTGTAGATTATCGTCGGTCAATGTTTCCGGGAAGATGAAAGTAGCCAAAACCGAGCCCGTGGATGACCGGAAAACCTCCATGATGTTGGGTTGATTGATGGTTGTGCGTGCAGATATTCAGACTACATAATTTTTTGATGAATTTGCTGCATTTTTCTCTATTTCATGGTGTATGAACTAATGCAATAGATTTTTTTTTTTCTTTTATTTTTTTAATATTAAATTTTGATGAGAATTGATGATCATCAGAGCTCATAATTAATTGTTTAATTAATTTTGGATATCTGAGAACGTCAATAATTCCTAGAGTCTAGAGACCAAGACTTTGTACCATTATTAGTTATTACTTTCTGTGGATTTAGCTTTATTTATTTGTTACACAGATAATTACATGACCTTCTAAATTGCTATAAATTTTGTTACTAAATGGGAAATTATCATCTAATTTTCAGTCAGAAGTCCGCACTCAAAAGAGTTTGTGATTAGAAAAACTAGAAAATAAATAAACCGATCTATTTCGAGTTTTAACGTACTGAATTAGTTTGACAAATCATTTGTTGGGCCCCGACAAGCCCAAGCCCAAGCCCAGCACAAAAGCCCAATTTGTTGGGCCCCGACAAGCCAAAGCCCATCACAAAAGCCCAATTGGCACTTCCAAAAGCCCAATTATATGGGTCACTGGCTACCTCGTCTTTTCGGAATTTACGACCCTTGTCTATAGGCCTGTAAACGAGTCGAGCTCAGCTCGAGCACTCTTAACGAGCCGAGTCAAGCTCGACTCGTTAAATAAACTAGCTTGAATCGAGCTCGAGCTCAAGCTTGACTTGTTTATCACTAACAACGAGCTGAGTTCAAGCATTAAACGAGTCAATCTCGAGCTTTAACGAGCCAAACTTCAGAAAATCATATAAATTCTCTTTGAGCTTTATGGAGCCGAGTTGTTAACCAAACAAGCTTTAAATGAGATCAAGCTCGGCTCGTTTATCAAATGAGTCGAGCTGAACTCGAGTATTAACGAGCCAAGCTGAGCAAGACTCGTTTCGTTTAATTTATCAGCACGTTGTCGTCGACCAAAACAAGAAGCTCGATCGAGCAAGAAAATGTCATTTTTGACAACGAGCTCGAGAATATGAAGGGGAAATGTAAGGAACTTTTTGATTTTGCAGTCGTTTACAAAACATACTAAGATCATTTCATTAGAGGAAAATATAACCACACAATGAAATGGAAGTAATGTTGATTTAGAGATAAAGGTACATAAAATGGTTGATAAAGATATAGTAAATTGGATACAAAATTTGAAGTTCAACTTCATCAAATTCAAGCCAAAAATCATTTCAACTGGCACACACAAGTAACATGTACTAACATAGAGCGGAATTTCATTCATAATGTCTCTCAGTAGTGTTGGTGGATCCAAAATATTAAGTATGTTGTGCATATACATATATTTACTGAGTACCGATTATTGATAATCCAAAACTTACGAAAAACTTGTCGGGCCCTCGTCTCTTGTGTGTCACGAACAAGTTGCGAAATGGTTGAATATTGTCTCGAGAGTAGATTGGCTGATGCTATACTCTGATATACCAAGTGCATTTCTGCAAAATCCACAAATATTTTAGACCAAATTATGCACAAGAACACAAAAAAGTTAGTGAATTTACAAGATTTTATGTGTTGAAAGGTTTAGTTGCAAGAATTAACAAAAACCCCAGTTATTATCTTTCAAAACAGCAAACAATTTCCTTCTTTTTATTTTTTCTTTTAAGTATTTTTAATAATCAGTGGGATACTTTATGAATTATGATTCAGAAAATAACCGGGGTTCTCTGTAGTTACGCAAAAAATTCTGGGTAGATTGTGAAATTATCGCGTAGTTAAATGCATTTTCACCTGTTCCTTTCCATGTGCCCGAAAACATCAGCAAGTGAAAGGTCTTCACTGTATGGCAGCTAAAAGTAGACGAAATAATTAACGTCATTAGAACTCGAAATCAGCATAAATGGTATTAACTCTTACCGAACAAATGAGAGCAAAATTAAAATTACACAAAAAAATTAAATAAATTGGCAAAAATGCATTTTTAGTCATCTTGGTTTAACGTCATAGCAATTTTAGTTCCAAAATTCCAACTTTTCACTTTTTTGTCCTGTGATTTAATATTTTGCTGCAATTTGATGACTGAAATTGCAAGAAAATTTTAAATTACGGGACTTAAATTGCTAATAAAAAATTTAAGAATTTGTTGCAATTTGAGGACTGAAATTGCAACAAAATATTAAGGGCATTTGTTTACCAAATAATCCATTCAAAATGAGTTATTTTGGTTAACTAGAGCTACTTTTGAAAAAAGTGGTATGGTTAATTGTTAGTGGGATTTTAAGAACGTATTAAAATAATATTTAAAAAATAATAATTAATAATGATTTGACGTGAAAGTAGGAGATAAATGATTGGAAATGATAGGTAATTAAAATTATGTGAGATGATGAATAGTGAATTAAAGTTGATGTAATGTGTAAGAATAATTGATTTCTATTATTTAATTATATAAATATTATTAAGGATAGTGGGGTTGAGTTAAAGTTGTGTTAGATTTTGAGAATGAATTAAATGTGAGTAAATTATTTGGTAAACAAGCATGCCCTAAATCACAGGAACGTTTGGAACCTTGGACTAAAATTGCTACGATGTTAAAATTTAAATGCAATTTTGCCTAATAAATTCACATGCGAATATGAAATACCTGATATTTAACGCTCAACCCATCACAGCCTTGATATGTAGCACCGGGAAAAGAAGATTGAATAAACGAATGAATAGCTGCAAATTTTTCTTCGGTTAACCACCATTCAGCAAATACCGGAAGCTGAATACCACCTAATAACACACCACAAATAATAGATTAAAAAGTTGATAATTCGTAATTAAATCTCACAGAAAGAATAAATCAATCATCACGATTATGGTATAATACCATCGCGAATTAGTTGCTCCGAAAGCTTTTCGCCAAATGCCCCACAGTCGGTTGTCGAAGATAAAAGGTTTTCCACTCTTTCTTCACTGCCGAGCCACCGCCCAATCGTAAAAAGAATCTCGCTCGACAAGTTAATCTCGACCGCCTTTTCGGCTGATGTGCTGCCACCTATGCAAATTTCCAGGTCATTTAGAATGCTTCGCGGTTGACGAGGAATCTCGAAGAATCTCTCCTGGATTGTCTCACACATTGCTTCTAAATCCAACAAGCTTACTTCATTAGGCTTGACCTGGAAAAAAGTAAAATCAAAATTAGGAAACTATCCTCGAAGTTTAGTTCGATCAAAATTACAGGTGCCTCCTTGATTTGAAAAGTAACTGTTTGTGTAATTATATCGGCAAAATTGCATATATAGTCGCGCTGGTTTAACATAACACCATAACAATTTTAGTGCCAAGGTTCCAACATTTCGCTTTTTGGTCTGCGATTTAATATTTTGCTGCAATTTCAGTCCTTTGAACACTAAAATTGCAAAAAAATCTCAAATTCCCAGATTTTCAATTAGCAATTTAAGTCCTGTGATTTTTTTTTAGCAATATATTAAATCACTCGAGCAAAAGCGAAAAGTTAGAATCTTGAAATTTTGTTGCAAAAATCTTGGACTCAGATTGCAGCAAATATTAAATCACTCGACCAAAAGGCGAAAAGTTGGAAAGTTGGAACCTTGGATTAAAATTGCTATATGACGTTGAATCATTAAAAATGCATTTTTTGCCAGTTATATTCCACTAAATAAATATTATTAAGATATATACAGGCAAAAAATTACTTCTAGCTCAAGATGGTTGCCAAATCTGTTTTTCAGATGCTGAGGACTTCCGATGCATCTTAGCTTTCCTCCAACCTACAAATGCGTTCAAGTTACGAGCATAAAGGAGAACCATTTTTGTATTTTTTTCAAAGCCTCGAGAAAAAACAAACCATTATCCCAATCCTGGTGCAGAGGGCCTGAGCTTCGTTCATGCTGTGGGTTGTTAGAATAACAGCCGTTTTTCCTCTTCGGGTAGATAAACGTGATATGACTTCCCACATGAATCTTTTCGCGATAGGATCCATTCCTAAAGCACCAAAATATGACATAACTATATAAGTATCAAATGTAACAATGTGCTCGGTTTTGAATGTCATCAGGTAAGCTAAAAATGTAATTTTAAGGAGGTAAAAGTACCGGTTGATGGTTCGTCAAGAATGACAAGTGGAGGATCACCAATCATTGCAATGGCAACGGATAATTTACGCTTATTTCCCCCACTTAGGGCGTAAGATGGTTTATCAGCGTGTTTCAACAAGTCAAACTCGACTAGCTTCTCCATGACAACCTGCATTTTTTTTTTTCAAAATCATCTTGTATATTTATATATAAATACATGAACAATTACAAGTAATTGATGGACAAATGCACAAGGAAAAAAGTTTTACATGTTCAAGCTGATATTCTTGGACTCCTTTGATTCTAGCATAGAGCTCAAGATGTTCCCGAACAGTGAGGTATTCGAGCAAGGCATCAAATTGAGGGCAATACCCAATCTAACAGGGAAAAACAATACGAAACAAATCGGGTAGACAATTTTGATAAACTTCAAAGGGAAAAAAAATATAAGCTAAACCAAAATAGAAAGGGTAAACCAGATGTAAATCAAGACTTACATGCTGACGAGCAGCCTTTGGGTTTGATTTGATGTCTTTACCAAAAATGTATGCAGTTCCATCACTTGGGTGCTCTTCTCCTGAATCAGCAATTGTAAGATAGATAAATATAGTCGAGTTCCATTTTCTTTTAATTGTATTTTTTTGTGCGTGTGTTTGAGTAAAAAATTAAGGCAAAATTGCAAATAAAGGCACAACTTTAAGGCTTTTGCAATTTGATCACCACCTTTTGCTATTACATGCATTTAAATGCAGATCGAAGCATAAATTTAACTTCCATCTAACGTAAGTTAATATTATGCTTCCATCTGCAAAACATATAAAAGTTGGTGATTTAAACGCAAATAGCTAGCAAAAGGTGGTTATTAAATTGCAAAAAAAAAAAACATTAAAGGTGGTGCCTTTATATGCAATTTCGCCAAAAATTAACAAGCAGTTTTACCAGACAGCATTGATAGAGTGGTTGTTTTTCCCGCTCCATTGGTTCCAAGAAAACCGAAGCATTCTCCTTCTTGAACCGAGAAAGTCAGCGATTGAACCGCAACTTTCGAACCGATGTGCTTCCCACCGGGAAAAACCTGAAAACCGAAACATTTGACTTGAACAAACTGCCAAAAAAGTTGAAAAACGAAAAATGTGCCTCATTGCGTACCTTTCGAAGATTATTCAGGTACAAAATTGCACTGCCAACTCCACCTGATATTACTCGATCTCTTTCCGCTTGCACGTCAATATCCTCTTCAAGATCGGCATTTCGAGAGGATGTACTAATAAGAGGCTCTAAAGAGCTACTGGAAAGTGGGTGATAAAGTTTTTTACATTCACTCCTCCAGAAGTTGAAAAACCTTGCAAAATTTATCTTGTACGGCAGAAGAAATTCTAAAGCGAGTGTCACGAGAAAGTAAATCATGCCCTGCACCAGGTAAAAGCAGTTAATCGACATTTGTTAAAAAGAACCATTTGCATTTTTATTGTATAATAATATGCTTCTCTACTGAAATGCAACACATTTGACATTTTAGTTTGTCATTTCTACAATATTTATTCCAAAGCTAAATATTACGTCGAACATAGATTTCAAAGAAGCTATAAGAGTATAATATTTCCAAAGGAAAAAAATATATATATCGTGCAAGTGCATCAGATTATGATGAAGTTGAATTACACGTCGTGAGATTTAGAAAAAACACCTCAGCTGCCAGATAACAGATAGAGGCACCAGTGACATTCCAGTCAAAAACACTATCACCCGATCCTTTTTTCATTCCCTGTCGCAAAAGAGCTAATGAAGCTAATCCATCGGCAAAGCAAAACCCAGGTGATAACCTGAAGAAGTTCTGAACAAAAACAGCACTTGTTTAGTTATAATCCAGTAATCCACTCATCACAATCTTGATAATTGAAAGCAATAAATTCGAATTTGCCAAATAAAAGAATTTCACAAGCAAATTGTCACCATTCACCATGGCAAGAATAAATTTAATAATTTATGAAATAAATATGCGACCTTCAGAAGAGAATTGGCTTTTCTTGTTGACTCGAGAAGTCCCATTATGAAGGATATAACCATAAGAATTAGCCCAGTGAAAAAGTGGACTAAGAGGACAACATTCTGCAGGTTATATAAGAGAATTCAGTGCCTGAACAGGACTAAATGACTGATATTTAAAAAAAAAAAAAAAGGTTTTCGAATCAAAACCTGTGCCATGCTATGTTCAGAAAAGAAAAATGTGAGGCAATAAGTAGATGATGCTATTGATAATCCATATCCCAAAAACATCAGGACAGTAGAGAACAAAGAATCTCTCCCAATGAATTGATCCAGGCCTGCACACCAATGAATGTAGAGAGAAGATATAATAACACTTTTTTTTTTTCAAAAATACTATTGCATAACACAGATTTAATTAAAAATACCGGAAACTCAAAAGGGGTGGCGAGAACACCAAGAACATACATACCAAATATGAAAAAGAGGACAATTGCAAAAGATGTAGAAAATAAGAAGCTGATGAAGTCCCAAAAGTACGTCGAAGCCCAATATGACAAAATGGAAACCTACAAAGGGGATCGGATATAAAGAGATTAAAGACTGCTAACTCTAAGAACCTTAAAAAAAAACTTATGGATTTAAATGTATCAAAGAAAAAAAAAAATCATACCCCACTTATAAGTTGTTGGTGCTTAGCTTTTACTTCACGTTCCTGCATCAAGATTTGCTGATAAATTAAACAAGACTACCATGACATAGGGAATATACAATAAATTATTATAAATTCAAGAAATGCAGTCAAGTTGAATTAATGTAACTGAGTTATGCATCATTCTCTATTTTAGTTGGGGCTGGAAATGGTTGAAAATGAGCAGAAAAAAAAAATATAGACCTGGCAATTTAATTTTTCATAAAGTAGTCCTCACATAGATGCTAACAACAACAACAACAAAGCCTTTTAGTCCCAAACAAGTTGGGGTAGGCTAGAGATGAAACCCAATAGAACAGTAGTAAAAGAA